CGAACGAGGTCCACGTTTTCTTTTTAGGAACATGCTGCTTAGCGTAATCTTTGTAGCTCATGCAAATGCAAAACTTAAAGCGGTCTTGTGTGATTTTGGTCACGATGACCTTCAGAAGGTCGGGCAAGGTCACTGACCTTATATTTGCATGTGACCTTTTGCTTAGCGTAGTTACCTAGGTTCTAGTTGCCTTTAGAGGCTAACCTAAAATATTACCTGATTTGGCCTTATTTAACCCAAAGGCCATGTTCTAGGAGCCTCAAACTTTGACCTAAGTGAGTTCATGTACAGTGTAACACACCCTATGAAGTAAGCGTCTCTAGCTTTCTTAGTTCCTGAGATCTCAGGGCGTCAAATTTACCCCCACCTGAGCGGAAGATATCCAACCGGTCACCCGGACGCGTGTTAATGGTTAATCTGTGGGTAAGTCAGCGCATGGTCATGCCTGTCACTAAAGATCCGGCCTTGCGGCGAGCAAATTTATCCCGAAAACCCCTTTTTCGAAAAAAGGTTCCATTGCTACCAGTGCGTAGCTTTTTGTGGAAGGGAGAACTTTCAAGTTAATGCTCTTTCCACCCATTCCCGGAGGTGGTGGGGGCCGTATTTCCAGTTTTACAGGCAGTCTTAAGCGTCAGCCCATGCTTACAACATCCAAAAGAACCCCGAGGTTCAAAAAGGACATTTTGAACCTCAATAGTCCCTCGAATCTAAAAGCAGATCCCGAGCGACCATCACACGACCCCCTCGCTGACAGAAAGCGCCGGACATGGGACGTCCCCTCGAAGCGATCACCCCTCAGTGCCGTTAGTGGCGGCGTGTGTGAATGTTTTCCGATCCCGGTCAATGTGTGTACACGAAGTCTGCACGTATGTGAGCTGCTGTAATACAGCATGCATTTGCGTCAGTTGCATCCAATTTTGTGCTTTCCCGGTTTTCCCGATAGACTAAGCAAGGAGAGACAGGTTAAGTGGTCTATGTGTCAATTTGTTCGTGCTCGCAGCCTTCAAGAAGCCTCTCAGATTGCCCGGCGCGCAACACTTGAATGTAGGCAGCGCGCAGTCAATATCAATATATAATGGAGACGAACTGCCGCCTACCCAACCACGGTCAGCTGAAACATGCGCGAATAAGAGGTGTCTCCAATTTACGCGTAATGTTGATCACAAGCACCATTGTCAACCCCTTGATGGTGGTTAGAGTGAATTAGTAGCTAGGTGGTTAGAGCCAGACATATCAGTAGTGCATTACGTCACCCAATATTCAAATATTCACAATTACGGACAAGGCGTTACTCAAAATATAGATCCGCATTTGATATGGTATGTTTGGTACGCTATGTAACGGAGCGTATTTGTTCCTACGAGTCAGAGCAAACGCGCGCATGTCAAGCCATTTTCTCTGCACACTGATTGCTTCCAGCGGTGTGTGTCCAGTGGATACACCTTTACTACACTGGAACCTTCCAGGATCTACAGCAATCGGTTTGAAGCAACCGACTGTGCCGAAAAAAACAGCGGTCGTATGAACCACACAAACACAAATAAAGGATAAATTCATCGGAACATTCAGGTAGCAAACTGTACTTGCGTGACCATCAGCCTTGTCTGTGTGTCTCCATGGGCAGTGCTTGCCACCGAGCTAAACCTAAGAAACTGCAGCACAGCTTTCATCTTGAAAAGATAAAAAGTGATCACCAAAAAGTTACTTGCATTACCACCAAGCTTCGCTCCTACATGTGATCTGGTAATAGACTGTGTCCATGTACCAGGGGCCTCACATGTGACAGAGGCGCCCTGTTGCAATCCGGGACTTGCTGGGCTTAGGCGCGCATCGCAGTCTCAGCGGGGCCTTTACGATAAGGGTGTGGTTTCGCAAAGTAGTTAAGGGCTAAGCGGTATAAATGTCTCAAACCCACACCCAAAATATGCGCCCAAATGAAGTTCCCCGCGAATAAGCGACGAGTTCCGAGCTCTCTAAAAAGATCTCAAGGTGAATTATGGCGCGAGAACATCGAAAATGACCATTCCTTCGCAATGTCACGTGGCCTTCGTGTTCTAAAGCTGAATCAAAGTACAGGGAGCTCAATATCACCAAAAAACTACCGGCCGATTTGAAAACTGTAATCACAAAACTATTTACAAGCGCAAGAGGTAGCATCCGTCAGAAGATCCTGTCCTTTCAAGGTCACCCTTCAAGGTCAAACGCGGGTTCACAGGACAAGGAACTTGATGTCACCCGAAAACTACCGGTCCGTTTTAAACTTAAAGACGTAAAAATATTCACAATTTCACAAATTAGCGTACGTCAACAAAGCCCTGACCTCTCAAGGTCATCCTTCAAGGTTAAACGTGGGATCAAAGGTCGGATAGCTCCATAGCACCAACCACCAATAAATTACCGGCCGATTTTAATCTTCCACACATCAGAATACTTCCACACATAGAAAGAACTAGCGACCGTCAAGAAACTCCTGATTTCTTAATGTCACCTTTCGAGGCCAAACGCACGCTCAAAGGACAAGGAACTCCACATTATCCAAAAATTACCGGCCGATTTTGAGCCTGCAAAAATCAATATTCCGCACAGATAGAACTAGCGTCCGTTAAAAAGTTTTGACCTCTCAAGGTCACCCTTCAACGTCAATCGCGGACTTTTTGGGACTTGTTGACGAGCGCAGGTTATTTTCTGTGGTGGATATTCTTATCTTTGCAAGTTTACAACCGACTGGTAATTTTGGGGGTGATATTGAGTCCCCGGTCCTTTAGGCCCGCGTTTGACCTTAAAGGGTGATCATGAGGGGTCAGGACTTTTTGATGGATGCTAGCTTATTGTGGTTAATTTTCTGACGTTTGTAAGTTTACTATCAGCCGACCTTTGGGACTGAGATTGAGTTCTCGTACTTTGAGCCCGCGTTTGGTCTTGAAGGGCGACCTTAAGAGGTGAGGATTTTTAACGGACACTGGTTCTTCTGTTGTGAATATTCTGTTACTTGCAAGTTTAAAATTGACCGGTAATTTTGGAGTGATGTTGAGCTCCCCGTCTTTTGAGCCCGCGTTTGACCTTGAAAGATGACCTTAAACAGGAACTTTTGATGCACGCTATTTCTATATGTGGTGAGCATCCTGATGTTTGGAAGTTGAAATAAGCATGAAAGCTCTGGGTGATATTGAGTTCTCCGTATTTTGTGCCTGCGTTTGACCTTGAAGTATGACCTTAAAAGGTTAAGATGTTTTGGTGGACGCCAGTTATTTCTGTGTTGAATATTCTGACATGCCAGTTAAAATTGGTCGGTAATGTTTTGATGATCACAAGTTTGCGGCCCTTTGACCCAGTTTTTGACCACGAAGGTCACATGATATTTAGATATAACGGTCATTTTCGATATTCTCGTGCCATAACTTACCTGAGACCTTTTCTAATAAATTGGAACCCGTCGCTAAAAAAATTGCTTAATAAATTGCTAACTTCACGGATATCGGCCCAGAGGCAATTCGTTCAAGTTTGATCTGGTTCTGAGGACTGGTGCTTAGTAAGGGATATGAGCTCAAGTGGTTGTAAGCCAGTTAATAGGTTATTTCCTGTATTTCATCCTGCTAGCATCCATACTTGAATCTAGAATCGCGCCAATAAGTATCTATATGTACTAGCGATAGACTATCATTGACTGAGGGTGATTTGGGGTCTTGTGACGTCACTCAATAATCAGCTGACGGTATCTTTTTCTGACAGGCAGCATTCACCATCTTCACGTAATCAGCTGGCAGCCGGCCCTCAGATTTATTCGCCGGTTGTTGCGGGCAGTTTGGGTGGCGGCAGGCAGGTACGTCGGGAGACGCGAATTTCTGGGATTTTATTGTGCAAACAGAAACATGAGAGCGTTTCCGTACCCAAACATGTGTTGTAAATTTACTGGTACCATTATTGTGAGTTTTGCGTGCAGGGTTATTCGATTCAGACTCCCGTGTGGTCCGTCGCGTTTGTGTCAGTGTGTTATGTTTGTGTGTCGTGTGATGCGTTTTGCCCATTTTCACTACCTATGGCAGCCTGAAAAAGGTAAATGTGTATGTGATATTCCCTGTTTAGATGGAGTCATGACAGCTGACACATTGATGGCCATGCTGTTTTAACAATAGATTTGTGACATCCACTTCAGTAAAGTCGTCCGAAATGATCTGAAGGTAGAAAAATTCCTTATGGCCTCATACAATGCTTTTTGACCCAGGTAACAGCAGATATAGTAAAGGCATAATATGGGTCATCTGTTGAAAGTTTAACAGTAAATTGAACCAGTCATTTTTATGGTCAGGAACAGCTACATGGGTGCAGCTACAGCTACATGAGCGCAGCTGTCCATCATGTCTGCTGACACCTGCAAGGCCACTGGTTGACACAGGCAATGTATGCTTCTTTGTTTGGTAGTTGTAGCATGCAGTTTGCAGTCTGGGATCATCAAAATGTCACTGGCTGGGATGGCTGTGTTTGTGGCAAGATATGGTTTGTTGTTAACAGAATCTTCATTTTCTTTGACAGGAGATGATGTCAGATGGTGGACCTGGTCCGCATGATTCAGTGTTGGCACCACTTAAGCCCATTAGCTGTTACATTAAAACAGGCTGTTATCATGAGATACTGTCAGAATCATTTTACTTCTGTGTAAAAACACATGTAGCTATCCATTCATTAAAAGAATGTTGGAAATTGAAGCATAAAGATATCCAGTCATACCAATTTTGGGAAAATTGTATCATGAAACATGAGGTATGGTAGTCCATGTGCAAGCCTCAGGGGTTGCGTTGTGATATGTGGACAGGGACAGAGATGACACTGTAAAGGACAGAGCATCACCTGTATGGTCAGACTCCTGACAATGAAAGGTGATATGGAGCACATACAATAAGAAAAATAAATTGCACTGAATCAGTCATGGCCACACTACCAGGTGGGAGGCCCTTTGGATCACTTGAGCCAGGGTGCTAATGGGGGGGGGGGGGGGGGGGGAATTAGTCCAGTAATGCATCCTTTTGCATCATTGAGGACCCATTGTGGACCTGCTAGCTTCTCTGGTCAGAGGACCTCCTATGTCACATAGCAGGCCAATGCATGTAAATCCCTTCAAACACCTGAGGCCAATGCATGTAAATCCCTTCAAACACCTGTGGATCAACCAGAGGGCCCAGCTCTGGCATTGCCAAAAGAAGAAAAACAGCAGAGAAGTGCCCTGTACAGCAAAAGAAGGGCCCCTCAACCCCTCACTGGTAAGAGAATGTGTCCCCTGTTCTACATCTTGCCTGAAAAAGGTAAGGAGTGGCTAAGTGCTCAATATGGTGGATGAAAGCAAGGTGGGGAAAATTTTATTGGGGTGGCCAGCCTATGTTTGCGCATGGACAGCCAGCATTTTACAGAACTAATTATAGATACAACAAATGATTACACCATTGAAAGGGATGTTCCACATTTGGGGGTATTGAAGCAAGCATCAGATGTAATGAAATTAGCTCACTTTTAACTCTAACTGTGCCTTTAAGTTGAAAAGGCTGCTCTAGACAACACAATTTCCCTGTCAAGTAAATATGTCCCTCAATGCGAAGTTGTTTGATTACGTCATCATAGTTGCACAACATTGAGGGCCAATTGACGGCTGTTATATTTGGAAGCCGTGCTCATTAGCGCCGGATGTGAACAACTCGACAATTATATTTTTCTTGACCCTGATTTCTGCATGGCTAATAGAATAGAAGGAACTTGAAGATTATAGGTCTAAGGAAGAGTGGGGCTGTGAACTGCTATGGAAGGAAACTAGAAGGTTATAGGTCTAAGGGAGAGTGGGGCTGTGAACTGCATCGACTGATTTTTAATTGGGTTTTTCAGTTTAGAGCCTCATAAAAAGGTGGAACACTGTGAGAAGGGAATGTATCAAAAAGTTTGGGCACGTGCGTCGCAATTTTAAAGAGCAAAAACACGGGTGTCCGGCATAGCAGTTTCTGTCAAATCGAGCGGTGCTGGCCGTTGCAGCTAAATCCAGGCGGCGGACGCCAGGCGCACCAAAGCATGGTGACTGGCATGCAATAACGTCCGTGAGTCTAAAATGAGGTATCCAACCTTTTTTGGTACCAATTTCGATTTCAGGCGGCCACTCCTGCGGGACAAATCTCATTGGGCTGCCCGCTGTCCACTGTGGACGTTAAGCATTTCGTTTTCGTTGCTTTGCCCAACTTGTGTGTTCTGCAATGTTCGCGACACACCAATCGGTCAAAATGTTTGTGTAGCAAATGCCACGAAAGCCTGAAACACTGTTTACACAAAAACATGCGAACAAGCTATCATCCCGCGAATTCAACGAAACGTTATTCTTTGGTTTCTCTCTCGGGCGTTTACAACAGTGACTCTTTTCTTGACGCGCTTGGTCTTTGGGAGAGGGAATATCGCATGATGCATACTAACGCTCTGGTCCCAACTTCAGCCAGTGCGCCTGGACCAATCACAAACGTTTTTTTATCCGCATTAGTTGAGATGTTACGGCGGTTGCGAGTACAGCGGGAGGGCGTGGTACTGTTACAAAGCGTTGACGCGTAATTGGTACTCAGAAATGATTAAGATTGATATACTTATTATTCATGGACGGTACTGCAGTGGTACTTCCCAGTGCCATGATTATACATACTGGCCCTGTGGTTTCACTAGAGAAGCATTTAAAAATATGTATATACCCGAAAGGTGGGACACTCCCTTTAAAAACAACTCGCATTGTTGAAAGGTTAGACTGTGGCGTGTTTTTCACCCGTACAGTTTGGAGACTACGCCGTGAGCTGACGCGCGGTTAACAGTAACACCAATCATATGGATTGCTCAGCTGTGTCAAAAGTTCGTGTTGCTGTAAATGCTCATCCTTTCCTATTGCCCACGCATCGGCTTGGTAAAGCGTTCAAAGGTACGTTTCGGATGTGTGTTGTGTCCTTCCACCCGTTGGCCGCGCGTACTGATACTTGTGGAGGCGATGCCGCGCGGCCTATGGAGACTGCAAGGCCGGGCTTCGGAGCTCTTGCATACGAAGACTGCCAGAGTACATGTTCAAAACTGTGCTGCATGTTTTCCACTATTCAGTACTGAAGGACAGTAGAGCGTAACCAAACGAACATGGGTTAACCTTAGCAAAACCGTTTTTTGGCCCCCTTTCCATTTGCCATCTGCATTCAGTCCAACCGGCCGAATGCGAGCATTCAATCAATTCAGTCCAATCCGCATTAAGTCCAGGGGGCTCTCATTACCTCTGTTGTCCCCCTAAAAAACAAGCGAAGACCAGAAAGCTCTTGGTTTGGAGAGAGGCAACCGAACCATTGTGAAATGCATAACACAGCTGGTTTAACAGATGCAGTCAATTATTGCCTGGTTCCTTCAGTTTTTTGATGACTTCAAAATGCAAGCAGAATTTCAGTGGTGTAGCTAAGATTCCGCCCAGGTGGGGGCTAAGTTGGGTCCTGGGGGGCCCTTCTAGCCATGGGGGCTCTCTTCGCCGCTATGGGGTCCCTGGTTTTTTATTCAGCGGAAGTTTTTAAGCACAAGGCTCTTGTGATGTCTGGAGGAAAGTTTTTGGATGTTTTTGAACCCTTGCAGACGTCTCAGGTTGCCACAAAAAGGACTTGACTATCGGCTCCAGGGAGGCCTCGCCACCTCCAGAGGGTGGCCATGGCCCCAAAGCCTCCCGGTGGCTGCCCCACTGCACAGTAATATCCTCCGGTGACCGCTGCGGTAGCCAAAGGAGGCAAAAATAAAAGTAATGCGAAGAAAATTGCTCCTTTTGAATTTTTTAGGCCCAGTCCGTATTTTGCGCAGCGGTGTCACCATCTGCTGTTTCTCGTCAATCTTGGTACCCACCATCCCCCTTATCACGACTCTGGCTGCTCCTCCGCAGGGATGTGATTCCGCATGTTCCCATTGCTCCAACAAATGCCAGTTTTGGCACTAGACGTGGATTCACGGCGTTCACAATAGTTGGTTAAGAACTGTGCTAACTGCCATGAGTGAATTGGTAAGCGTTTTAATATGTAATTGACTGCGGAGACTGCGGAGACTGTGTAAAAGTCATGTGTTTACGGTTCATAATGACGTTTACCAAAAGGTGTGCGTGGATGAGTGGTAGTTTGAGGATTTGTGTCTGTCTCGGTGGCTCAGCTGTATAGAGCGCCTGTCCGCTGACTCGCCCAACTGTCGCGGGGTGGGTCCGAATCGATTTAGGCGCTCAATATTTACCACCAACAGATATGGCTTGCGGCCGGTGGCAGCTGCCACGCAAAAGGTCAGTTGACGTCAGAGGGTACTACAGACCGTGCCGAGCATTGCAGCGCGTTTAACTTTCGCCACCAAATTTTGCTGTTGGCCTGCAGTTTCACGGTCGGATGGTGGGGTCAGGGCTGCCGACACAAGCACCGCTTAGCTTGAGCTATGAGCCCAAAAGTCTATCCATTCAAAAGGTCATCATCTTTCATCATCTTTCTTCACCTTTAAATGTTTCTGCAGTGTTCTGAGCAGGCATGGTGGTTCTCTTTACCCGCTTTCACTTTTTGCACTCTTTTGTTTTGATTTTGGGATGCGAATCGGACGACGAGGGAAGAAGGGCACCTGTCGATGATCAACTGGAAAAGTTAACACGCGCTCGGGTTGGGGGTCGAGTTGAACCCCCCGAAGGTTTTTCCAGAATTGTTTCCGAACAGCGGGGTGCGGCCGCGCCAAGTTTTGCATAGCTGTTGAGAAATGAAAGCGGATCTTTTGGTGTAAGAAATGTAGATGTACCTTGTACGATCACTGACCGATGACAGGTCAGAACCAGGTCATGGTTTCAGCGAAGTCAATTTCTAGGGAGTCGTTCAATCTGATGCAACAACGAAGTGTTTGACGAAGCTACACATCTTTGAGATGCTTTATTAGGCAACACAAACACTGAATGAGCAAATTAAGTTGGCCTAAGGTCAGGTATGAAGGTCAGACCGAGGTCAAAACCAACCTGTTTTGTTGTTCAATGGCTTGCTGTGTGGAGTAGTTTCCGGTGCTCATTTTGAATTCATTGACAGCAGGAACCGCATCATGTATCTTCCATTGACTTCTTAGATGTCAGAATAGGTCATTGACCCGAGATGACCCAGGTTAACATTTTTAGGAACATGCTGCGTAGCGTAGTGTTTGTCGCTTATTCAGGTGCAAAACCTGGGGCAGTGTTATGTGACTTTGGCACCATGACCTTCAACAGGTCAAGCAAGGTCACTGACCTGAAATGGACTTGTGATCTTTTGCTGTATTATCTATTGTTATCTAGGCTCCGGGGCGCTTTCTAGACGAATCTGGAATTTGACCTTGTTTGACCTTATTTGACCCGAAGGTCGTGACCTAGCTGCCTCAAACTTTGACCTTAGTGAGTTCACGTACAGGTCAACACACCCTGCAAATTTGGTGTCTCCAGTTTTCTTAGTTCCCGAGATCTCAGGGGAGGTCAAATTGCCCCCCCCCCCCCCACCCCATCTCCACCCACCCGAGCAAAGGGTATCTAGCCGGCCACCCGGGCGCGTGTTAACATTCATCGTATAGCGTTGCACGAATGCGAGTGACTAAACAATCGGCTTTCTCCGCCCGCGTCCAACCCAAATGATGTTTTGTCGTCATATGTGTGAATGCACCCGAAACATCGATGCATGGCAGATGATGTGCTGAAATTACAGCGGCTGACAGACGATTCCGGGAAGTTCCAACGCATGCTCATGCGCAAACGGGTGTTGACATTTATACGCATTTGTTTTGTAACGCAAAACCTATGTTGGGCAACCTTTTTGACATCCTTTTTCAGTCGGGCTTGTTGGTGCACAAAACGGCCAGAAACAGACGCAAGGTTGTATTAATCAGGTTTTGCAATGCTTTGGAAGTTTTCAAGCTGTCTGCACAACCCGAGGCTCGCTAAGCTTCTTCTGCACCAGTGCACTGTACAAACAAGGTAAGATCTTTGCTTGGTCTACGATTTTCGTTGGGCTTGGGAGTCATTTAGGCTTGATGGCGCACTCAGCTGCTGAAGCTATGTGGCTTCGCCTGCCTCTGACTGATAGGAACTGATATGAATAGCGGGCATCCCGGGGAATCGAACCCCGTACCTCTGGTGTTCTAGGCGCGCAGCTAAACAACCGTTGCATTACCAGTACCCCCCCCCCCCCCCCCCCCCCAGCCGACTATATCGCCTTTTTCATACAGTAACTCTGGATATTGTACGTATGTTTGTCGATGTCATCCAACCAACGCCGTACAAAAACTTGTGTCGGGCTTATTGTCATCCACTGCTCATATGAGCAGCACGCTTTGTACTTGTAGTTCGGGCACAAAATGGCCGCTGCTGTCGACGCGGCCCTAAGCCCAAATAATAGCAACTCGTACCAATGTTGTTCGTAAAGGTGCGCGGAAACATCCTCAGCTTGGTTTTGAATAAGAAAAAAAATATTCAAGTTTTTCATACTTGGATCGGGCTGCCCATGGGAAAAGTTAGTCTTTCCAAAGGGTCTTTTACAAATCCTGAATCCCTTCCGGCCACGGGCTGGAAACAGGCGAAAAGTTTGATGAGACCTACGAGGCAGCACGGCCTGCGGGTTCCAAGCCAAAGACCACGAAAGAGCAGATCATCCGCCGCAACGCGCCCTGATTGTCCTAACCTCCGGACTTAGTCGGACATGCCGCCACGCCCCTGTCACGTTTATTAAATCATTGAGTAGATCTCAGCTTGCAGATAAATCACGCAGAACCTTACCATATATAGCAGATTTCCCTTCCCCGATAGACTGAAGATGGCAGCACAAGGCGGTGTGCGCCTTAGATGGCAGCACAAGGTAGCCCTAGGTGGCGACGACGGGCGACGAAGCAAAATCCCCAGCGGGGTCCATACTACACCGGGGTGTTATCTAACCGCACCCACATTCAACAAACAAATGTTTGGTCCCAGTTTCGTTAGTCATGCATCTCAGTCAGGGGAAAATCGGACCAAAAGGAGCGGGGCAGCTCTATGCAGTTCGCAGGGAATCTCCCTTACATTACTCCAAGGGAGTAAGCACATGCGGGCCGAGCCTCCTTTCCATGTCAGCAGGGCCATCACAGAATAACCCGCTTCTGAAGAAAAAACTGGCATGCCCCTGGGGAACCAGAGGGTCTTTGAGCGGCCGGATGTACCCTGTGCAGCTAAAGGGATCACGAGCATGTAGAGTATGTAGGGCATTTCTTGATGCATTGGTATGTATTGAGTATGTCAAGGGCTCCGAACGTTTAAAGATACCCTCAGTGACCAGCGGGGTCCGGAGCACGAAGAGGGGCACATCAATGGCCAGAGGGCTTTTCAGTGGCCGGAGTAACCCCGCAGTAGTCAGACGTCCATCAAGCAGCTAAAATGCCTCTGAGCGGCCAGGGGGCAGTGGGAAAACAGAGCCTTGGGCGTATAGTGAGTTCTTGGACGTTCAGAGTGCCCTGAGCTGGTCAGGGGGTAAACAAGCGGCCAGAAGACCCCATGAGCAGTCAAATTCAGAACGGGCCTCCTGAGTGGTGAAAAGGGCCCGGAGCAGCTACCGAAACCTCTGTGGTCCAGAGAGCCGTAATCGAATTCAGGACGGGCCGGTTGAGTGATGGAAAGAGCCCTGAGCAGCTGATGAGACCTCGGTAGCTCAGAGAGCCGTGCGAGATGCAGCTCAATGTCTGGTGACCAACGGGCCATTAAGTGGGTGGTAATTAGGCCTGCAGGTCACCAAATAGCCAGACGAGCACCTGGCTGGCCAGAAAGGTCTCCCGGGCAATCAAAGGTGCATATTAGGGTGTCCAGAGGGACCCTGTGTGGCAAGTGAAGCCCCTGAGCTTAGACCCTTGTAGTTTTGTTGACGAATAAAGCAAGGGTCATTTGTTTATCATCAAGATGTCACCGACAGGTGTGGTACCCACCTTCAGGTGGTATAAGCATTACCTGTAGCTGGAAACACTCATGTGTCACCAGCTTCCACTGGGGGAAGGGCGGCTGGGAAAAGCATAATTATCTATGTCTCCAAAATAGATTTTGTCACTTCCATTTCGGCCGTCGAATCCACCTTTATTCATGTTGTCCTATTTATAATGCTGCTTTCAAGTCAGGCTGACTTCCAGTTCGCCCCCGGTCGGCAAGTTGTTTCCAGTTTGGCCCCTCCAAACCAGGTTTTCCCGTCCCATCTCTGAAACGTGTGCTCACGACAGGCGATGTTAGCAGAACGACACACGTTTTCAGAGGAGGCATACACATAGCGTTACACCACACAAACAACAATTTCAATCGGATCGGTCTGGGTCTGGCTCTACATCAACCGTGATCTCGCTTACGTTTTGTCTAAATAGCACGGTTATGATTTTTCTAGGTACCGCGCTCACGGTATCGGAACCCGCGAGAAAGCATCCGTGGCTGCGGTGGCTGCCGATAGGACGGTGGTCGTGCTCGGGTTTAGTGACGTCACTTATGGGCAGCCCGTCCTGCCGTGGGATGTGCCGATTACGGCAACCTTGTCTGTGAGAGTGGATACGCCAATTCGGAGCGGTGCGTACGTGTCCGAGGCTCACGTGTCCGCAGAGGAATACATCGTTTGCTTGGTTTAATCGTATGTGCCAACAAACCAAGGGCTTGACAGCAGGTTCGCTGAAAGTGTCTTGGTGCGGTATTCCCCAGACAGACTGTTTTGTAAGCCATTCTTGGCGCGTAAGTGTCAATATCATGCAGCGGGTCTATAGGTCTTGAATCAAGGTTGTTCGGCACCCTGATCCACAAGAGTGCCGCGTCTGGAGCCCTTGACTTTTACCTTTGATTTCCAGACCTCTGACTTTGATTCTCATACAGCCTTACTCGGACAGTCAATCCAGTCTAAGCTCTAGTTGCTGTTGCCTGACATTTATGTTTTAGTAGTCTACACCTGGGTATGCGTGTGTGGTGCCGTGCGCTGCTGGGTGGGTGGCAGGATATCCTTTGGGCGATGATTAGTTGGATGATCCACATTTCCACTGATCATTTCTGTGGACACTGAGGGATGCTTTCATCCTTTCAAGCCTGGAGTTGATCCTCATGAATTTGGGTGTGATGGTCCTGTTTGTAGTAATGGTTAATACTGGTATCCTTCATGGTTGCGTAATGTCAGTGGGTCACTGATGTTGATCATCATCACTAACATGCTTTTCATGCAATGCACTGAGTATTATTTTGGTGTATTGTCTATCCACAGGCAAATGGCAAAAGTCAGTGTCAATGGTGTTGGCATCAACTATGAACAGGCTGGTACTGGTCCACACACAGTCCTCTGCATGCCAGGAGCCTTGGGTGAGTGAATCATTGGTATTATATAAATATTATTAAGAAATAGATTTTGCAGTTATATGATAGTGTACAGTTCATTATTATACCACATGTGCTGATTTTGTGGTGTCTGTGCTCCATGACATCACATTGAGCGATGTTATTTGTGAACAATTACCACGTAAATATAAGGCCTAGGAAACAATCTCCAACCCTCCACATCTTCCAGGATTGTCCCATCCACAGCATTCTCCCCAGTCATCATGCCTATTTTCATGATTGGTGTTGCATATGTACCCCATGCTGCTGGAAACCCTGTCAGGTCTATGTCACTGCTACAGAACTGGACCTTGTCCATGAATCCTCCATGTACCCCTGCCTTGCCACTACCCAAAACTGCATGGCCTGATGCTGCCACCCTTGATGGGATCCCCTGTTACAACCCCAAACCCGATCCTGTGCTGCTACCCAGGACCCGATCTTGTGCTGCTGCCCAGGACCCGGCCCGCAGCTGCTGCCCCAGCCCTGGCCTGGTGAGGTGCCCAGGACCTGATCCTGTGCTGCTGCCCTGGACCTGCTATTGTGGTGCTGCCCAGGACCTGGTAGCAGCACATGAGCAGGTCCAGGTCCAGGTCCAGCCATGGGCCAGGACCTGACCTGCAGCTGCTGCCCCAGGCCTGGCCTGGTGCTGGTGCCCAGGATCTGATTCTGTACCGCTGCCGTGGCTCGGGAGGTGACGAACGCCACAGGACCTGATCCTGTACCGCTGCCGTGGCTCGGGAGGTGACGAACGCCACAGGACCTGATCCTGTACCGCTGCCGTGGCTCGGGAGATGACGAGCGCCACAGGACCTGATTCCGTGCCGCTGCCGTGGCTCGGGAGGTGACGGAGCGCCACTGCGACAGGCTCGGCGCTCACCGACTTCGGACCCCAGCTGAAGTCGCTGGCGGGCGCCGAGCTGACGCTGGTCGCCTGGGACCCGCCCGGCTACGGCCTCAGCCGGCCGCCCGACCGCTCGTTCGGCCCGCTCTTCTTCAGGGAGGATGCGGAGGCGGCCGCCGGGCTCATGCAGGTGCGAGTCAGCTGGGTGCTGGTGCTGACGCACGTGCACATGCCGCATGACGACAGTGATGGTGCGCAGCAGCGCGAGTTTGACGTGGGGGGGGGGGGGGGGGGACGGCGCGCGGGCGCTCGGCAAGCTCGACAAGGTTGCGTACTATGCTGTGCGACTGTGTTACGTCTGCGTTGCAGGACCGGGACTGAGACGGGGATGAAGCCGTATTCGGATGCTTGGCTCGACCGCATGGACATTTAATAACCAGCTGCAGCAAAGCCTGCCGCGAGCTTTGTAGGACAAATTCCGTCGAATCAGAAAGCATATGCTGATGTCCAATTGACTAATGTTTTGCCTTTACCGGGATGGAGGCTATCTCCGGGCGTCTGACTGCGCCCCGCCCGGGCCGACCGGGCATTGAGCCGGCTGGGTGATATCACCCCGCCCGTGTGTGGCCGGTGGCGAGGGGCTTCACGGCAGGCTATATATAGCTTCAGTCTGGTTCATGTGTACAGACGGCAATGCGGTACGTTGAGTAGTCCGCAACTGCTGCCCACTTTAAATCGGGCTAGTTTTTTATCGTAGTCTTGTAGTGAAGCAATTGCATACAGTGCAGCCAAACGAAACCATCAACGCCCCTGATACGCTTCTGCTCGGATAGGCCCGGAGGCACCAGTTTTCGTGCTGGGCTTGTGTCACGTTTGCTCACGCGTTCCCAGGCTCTGGGATATGACAAGTACTCGGTGATGGGATGGAGTGACGGAGGCAACTCGGCCGTCATCCTCGCCGCCATGAGACCCGAGAACGTTACCAAGCTGGTCATCTGGGGCGCCAACGCCTACGTCACTGACAAGGATTCGGAACTGTACGAAGGTCCGTTGGTGTATCTTATATTGACGTCGCAAGGAAGGACATGCCGTCTCACCTGGAGGTATGCGGCCCCTCTGTAGTGTGCGGGCGGGAAGCGCGGAAGATCATGTCTCACGGAGTGTCCATTACTGTGCAGTTTCCTGCGATTGAAGACAGGACGCGTCTGATGTACCTGTCCTTCAGACGGCTGCGAGGCGTCAGAGCACGCGCACTGTAGCTGGTAAGCGGCCCGGCCATGTGTGAAGATACCGTCCCCCGCGCGCGCCTTCGTCTCTATTGGCGTCTGCTCTCGGTGCCTGCTTCGATTGATGTATCGTCTTGTCCCGTAGTCTCCTCAGATTTGGTGCCGTCTTCCAGTGTGACGTGCCTGAAATGGCGCGCTGTCTCTTGAAGTCTCCTGTGCATAAGTCTGACGGTATGTCATCTCTCGCGGTCATGTGCATCCCCTCCCCAGTCCCCCCCCCCCCCTGACGGTGTGCTGTCTCCTGCAGTCTCCTTGCTTTGCCTCTGAGGCCATGTCGTCTTAGTCTTTCGCGATCTTCCCCGTGTCATGCTGCAGACCCAGCTAAACCAGGCCCGGAGGGGATGTACCAGCGTCACAGCAAAAAGCCCGACGCTTCGCTTAATCACGATACCTTCTTGCAGGCTGGGATGAATCTGTTTTACAGCAGTTTGTTCACAACGTGCTTCAAACCCCAATGCCAATGATGGCAACATTCAATCTTCTTAACTAACCGTGCCGAAGTACATACGGGTGACACGGAACGCCGCTGGGGTGCACCCCGGATCCCAGGGTATGCACGGACACCCAGTACACCCGCCTGGGTGCAGGCTTGGCTGGCTGCAGCGTGACATGCTTTCTCCCATGGTTTCCTGCCTCTATACCATATGGTGTGTCGTATCCTGCAATAACTGTGTTTACTGTCTGTGTTTGTCTCCGACGACGTATCGTCTCACAATCTCCTGCTCCCGTCGTGCGTGCTGCCGCTCCTCCCAGTCTGCCGAGCATCTCTCGGCCTCTCACCTGTCGCAGCCTCCTGCCTTCCAGTGCGGCAGTCTCGGGCGGCGCACTGTATCGTACGGTGTTCTGTGTTCGCCCGCGATGACGTGCTGGCTCTCAGTGGTCTGTAGCTGCCTCGGGTGCGGTACCGCCTCCTGTGGCCTTCTATGTGCTCTGTCCCTGAGGCTGTATTCTACTGTGCTCTGTACTCGGTATGTACTCTGTCCTTGCTCTGTCTATACTCGTTCCGTACTTGTGATGTACTCTACTGTATGTCTGATGCTGTACTTTGTGCCTGATGCGCTAAATCGTGCCTGCTATTGCACTGTGCGCCTCATGCTGTACTCCGTGCTAGATACTGTGCTCTGTGTCTGATGTTGAGCCGTTTAATGCCGTACCCGGTGCCTGATACTGTGCTATGTGCCTTATACTGTGCTGTGTGCCTGATACCGCACTGTGTGCTTGATACTCTGGCAGTATCGACGGTCTCCTGCTGACACGTCGTGTCCTCTGCAGCGGTGCGCGACATCGACAAGTGGTCGGAGCGGATGAAGGCGCCGATGTTGGAGCTCTACGGCGAAGGCTACTTCCGCAGCACCTGGAACGCCTGGGTGGACGGAATATCGGCTTTGAAGAACACAGAGTAAGGGCTCTAAAGACGGCGGAGTGGGCAGCACTGAATGTGATAAGGAGACGTCTTCAGCCCTAAGTTTTTGGCATGTTTGGCCGCGCATTATAACCGCCTTGTGAAAGACGAGAGAAATGCATCTAAGTGGAGCACGTCTGGATGAGTAGATCACGTAAGATTACATACACCGCATCAGTTTTAAGAAGAGAACAAGGATTAACCAGGGTCATTTTGACTTGTGCGTCGTGAAGGCCATGCAAGTTAAAGTTAGAATTAACGGCATGTTTCGAGCGGCCCTGGACTACTGAGAATATGCCTGCGAGCATCATTGATAGGGCCATATTCCTTAGATCCAGCGCCTTTTAGTATAAGCAGCGGCCCAGGCTTCAAAGATTATGCGTGGCGTTGCGTAGAATCTTTGCCGCACGCACAGAATCTGTTGCCATTACTTGACCGGAGTGAAACAAATGGCGCAGTAGGTTGGTTCATAAACAAGCCAATTTGAATGCCCAGGAACTGCGGCGGGTGAACAAAAGGTGTGTTCAACGTTAGAAACAGCGTAATGCACAGCTTCCATTCTGATGATCACGTGTAGTACGTGCGGTATGATCACTCGTAGTACGTGCGGTATGATCGTGCGTAGTACGTGCGGTATGATCGCGCGTAGTACGTGCGGTATGATCGCGCGTAGTACGTGCGGTATGCTTGCGTGTAGTACGTGTGGTATGATCGCGCGTAGTACGTGCGGTATGATCACGCGCAGTACGTGCAGTATGATCGTGCGTAGTTCGTGTAGTATCATCACGCTTAGTACGTGCGGTATGGTCACGTGTAGTGTCATCACGCGTAGTACGTGCAGTATGATCGCGCGTAGTACGTGTAGTGTCATCACTCGTAGTACGTGCGGTACGGTCACGCGTAGCACGTGCAGTATGATCGCGCGTAGTACGTGCAGCATGATCACGCGTAGTACATGCGGTATGGTCACGCGTAGGACGTGTAGTATCATCACGCGTAGTACGTGCAGTATGATCGCGCGTAGTACGTGTGGTGTCATCACGCGTAGTACGTGCGGTATGGTCGCGCGTAGTACGTGCGGTATGATCGCGTGTAGTACGTGCGAACGTCAATGCTGGTGTTTCGCATGCGCAATCATTTTCACGAAGGCAGTGAAGACGTGAAAAGAAAATCTAACGCGTTGCGAACACGCTCGAAAAGGGTTGTACGTGACGTCACTTGGAATGGAGCATGCTTCTTGCGCTGATGACACACCCTGGAATGATAGATCACAACGGCGCATTACAGCAGCCCATGCTTGCAAACGCTGCAGGTTCTCGATGGTATTCAACATTGTTAATTAAACGTGATTAACACAAGATTAAAACTGGCCAATTCGATAAACAAGCTTTTAAGTTTTTCAACTTGGCCATGAAAAAGTGCCAGCAAGAAACGGCACCAAAAGAAACAACTGGGACTTGGGAGGTAACGCCTCCATTCGTGCTGTTACTGCCGGACCCTTTCAAATAATGGTTGTTAGAGGATCTACACGACGTGTGCTCTGCACAGACCACTGATAGATGTTATGAAGGTTTAGCGGTTAACATCACGTTTTTGCACCAGGATGCCCAGAAAGTGTCCATTAGATTTACCAGGGGGTCCTAGAGGGTCTTTGTCCCTCCCTGACGATCGCGGGCCACGTAAGGCTCGGAAAGGCCGCACTGTTTTCGGAGGAGGGCACTATATTGGGTTCTTTGAACGTTATGAATCTTTCTGGAATCCCCGCCTCCCACCCACCCATCCAGGGCGAAATTCTGTGCATGCGACTGTTGGGTGTTATCGACTAGCTGGATGCGTTAATATTTGTGCCTAGGCACATCATATGTTCAGCTTGATTTTGTAAACTAGTGTCAGAGCGGCGGCCCATCCCGGCTGGATTCAGAGTATGTTTGCACTAGCTGCGCCAGTGACAAGGTTTTCACAATGGAGCGTCATAAATCCTGGTGCGGACATAAACACCTGGCCTGTCGCCGGTGTCAACACCAAATGGTGGGCCCAGGCCGGCTCTGGCCTGTTACTGTAAACAATGATCAGGGCACCTTCCGTGCTGCGCTGTAATGCGTAACGACGAAAGGTAGAGCTTAGCGGAAAACACCAGTGAATTGGTTGCAACGAGATCTTGCGCTTGGTAATAGGTTTTATTTTGCTGGATCAAAGATTGACCCCATCATGCGAGGTCCAAGGTCAAATTTTCCCGACAAACGAACTTTTCACCTTCCCATGTCCATATGAAGGAGACCATAACCCGCAACGTCACGAAACCCAAACAGGAATGTACCTTGGAACTTGTGAACACAACGGTGTATCTTGTTATATGTTTTCGGTGTCTGTAATGATGCATGGCTCTGTCAGTGTAACAATATCGGCCCGGCGTGGGCCGTACTCGGAATCGTCGGCTGCTGCCCGCCACCTGCGGCCCGCGCCGGCCATAAATCGCCGTGCAGCGTTCCGAAAAAAACCGCCGCTGCTCCGAAACCAGAAATGCTAATGACACGCTTTGCGTGGCAAAACACGCTCAATGGATGTCGCCTATGCCGGAGGGGTGTCCTCAGTATACCTCAGGTGACTTGGGGGGGGGGGGGGGGATCGCACCAACCCCGAAGTATCAGGACGAGGCTTAAATAATGTTGACACGTAGCTCAATTCTGGCTGTAAACACTTTCAAGTCGTCTCACACCATCGGGTCCGGACTCTCTGATCCGCTGGATGGCTTTAGTCGACAGCCACACCGTCCTCGCTTAGATAGCAACATCCTGGGTTTACACCTGACGCGACACCCCGCTCAGATATCGGCTTGAGTATTGCCGGGGCCACTTGTGTATCGCCATGGTTGATGCCTTCTTGAGCCGCGATTACCTGGGCGCCTCGGGTCGAGAGGACCGAGATGGAGCCACAGCCCAGCACAGAGCCGAGATAGCATGCCGCGTCTCCCAGCTGGCGGGTTTGGTAGCGTCGTCCGCCGTTCGCTGTGGTGTGACGTCACGACCGTGTCCTTGTCCCGCTACTGAGGACGCAGTGTCGTGGAGCGGCCGCCGGCTGTCTGGCGTCACGGCCGTATCCGTGTCCCACTACTGAGGACGCAGTGTCGTGGAGCGGCCGCCGGCTGTCTGGCGTTACGGCCGTGTCCGTGTCCCGCTGCTGAGGACGCAGTGTCGTGGAGCGGCCGCCGGCTGTCTGGCGTCACGGCCGTGTCTGTTGTCGCCGCAGGAACGGCATCTGTCGGCGGGAGGCGACTCAGGTGCGGTGCCCCACGCTGCTGGTGCACGGCGCCAAGGACGCCATGGTGCCGGCCGAGCACCCTGAGTTCTTCAGCAAGCACATCCCCGACGTCAGGTGACTGCCGGCGCCGGCTGCAGGCCGCCGGCCAGCGGCGGGTGCTGCCGGCGCCGGCTGCAGGCCGCCGGCCAGCGGCGGGTGCTGCCGGCGCCGGCTGCAGACCGCCGGCCAGCGGCGGGTGCTGCCGGCGCCGGCTGCAGACCGCCGGCCAGCGGCGGGTGCTGACGGCGCCGGCTGCAGGCCGCCGGCCAGCGGCGGGTGCTGACGGCGCCGGCTGCAGGCCGCCGGCCAGGGGCGGGTGCTGACGGCGCCGGCTGCAGGCCGCCGGCCAGCGGCGGGTGCTGACGGCGCCGGCTGCAGGCCGCCGGCCAGGGGCGGCCAGGCGCGGGTGCTGACCCGCTGGGTATCGTGGCATTAGGTCAGGTACACGCCAATGGCAACATGCTGCCGCCTTTGTCTTCCGTCAGGTGGCACATTGCTTGGTTTTGGTGATTTCTTGGGACATCGTGTTGGATATCCAAATTTCGTTCTAGGTTTGTAGTAAGTGCTGATACATTTTTATTTTTCTCATTGGATATGTTATCCAGGTAATGCGTAACTGAGGCTTGTTCATAATTATGTGGTAATGGCTTTCGAAAATGCTGGCAGTGGGTACCCAAGTGGATGGTGAAGTTTGTAAAGATGATAACAGTTGAAAAGGTGCATTGTGAGCGCTCCAACTACTTACGCTACTCCATGTCAGATGATGTAAGTTAAGCACTAATAAGTCGTAGGGCTCCTCTATTCTGTTATCAGTAGCTGTGTGCCTTTGAAGGCAACCGAAAGACAACTTCTCAGGTTTGAGGTGAATTTCCTTGGAATGTTGGGTTTGCTCCATTTTTTTAACACGTCACTGCAATATTGAGTGGTATTATTCGTGGTTTCAAAGGGCTTATGTCGTCGGCTCTCTGATCAGAATTACTCGTGACCTGATGTCAATGGGGCCAGAGATTAGTGTGACCTCGTGGTTCCAGTATTAATGTTTGAATCAGTCTATGGTATGTGCTTTGATATGCCTCAGGCATAAATAATTCCCTTTCCCATAGCCTCGTTAGCCCTCGTCAAATGAGCGCCGTATTGCGCTCGCAGCGACATCTCAGGCAAATACCGTGCCCATGCGATCTCATTGGCCCCGACAGCGAGCGAGTACGTCGAAACCGCGTCCCTGCCCCCCGGCGCCCGCCGTCCGAAAACCGTGTCCCTGTCCCCTGGCGCCCGCCGTCCGGAAACTTCTGTTGTGACTGCGGCCTCGTCCGGCTTTCGGCCCCCGTGACACCCCCCCCCCCTCTCTATCGGCCCCCTGTGACACTGGGTGGTCATCCCTACGTGATCCGTTTGACACCTCAATCCATCGTCCCCGGTCCCACTGGCACACGTGACTGTTGCGCCGTCCCTGTGCCAGCCTGTGACCCCCTGCCGGTCCCCCAGGCTGCACATGTTCCCAGAGGGCAAGCACAACCTGCACATGCGCTTCGCCGACGAGTTCAACACACTGGTGACCGACTTCCTGATGGGTCGCTGAGGGGCGGTACCTGGCTGCAGCGCGAACCGGGGCGGTGTGTTTGGCAGACGGGGGACGCTGGCGCAGAGTGAGCGCGACGACGGCGTCAGAAAAAAAAATGGACATGTATTGCTCTGTAGGGGCGTTGGCTTCGTGTTTGGCAGAGGGCTCTGGCTGGAACGTTTTTGGGGCTGTGGCATATTAACGCTTATGGGGCGCGCCGCGGAGGAAGGGGATCCGTGACGACCCTGCTTGGAGGAACAGTAACGACCCTGCCTGTTAGCTGTTGAGCGCGAGACGAGACCGTGTAACAATGCAGCGGAGGATTGTGCTGGCGGGCTGAACCCAGCGCTGTGTGGCGTGGTGCAGTGCAAATTTAGTCCAAATGTACTTCAGGCCCCAGCGCCTGAACAGTCATGGTCAGCGGTGACCTCATAGTTTGAATATATTTCCACGTTTTTTGTTGTCGTTTGAGTGATGGTGACGAGATGCCATCTCCCTTTACCATCACATGCCCTGGTGGCTCGGCAATGTGCTGTCCTGGGGTGCTGCGTGCTGTTCGGAGGCCAGTGACCCAGCAGAAGTCATCAAAACCCAGTCGGAGCTGTGTGCTGCGGCTCTTGGCCAACATGCTGCGATGCTCTCCGGTGCACACGGCGACTCCGGCTGCCTCAACCAAGGCACGGACGGCCCTCTATGCACTTGGTTTGGACGCGTGGACAATAGTCAACTTGTTTAATTACTTGTCCTGGTGTTGGTTTCCTCAATTTGTCGGTGGCGAAAGCCCGAACCTTCCAGGAGCGTCATGTCTTTTGTTTGACATCGCTGATTGGGTATGCTGATGGCAAGCGGCGTCAAGCAGTGGCGAGTCGAGCGGTCTTCTGCGGAGAGAGCAAGCAAGCGTCTGGTCAATTGTTGACTCATTGACGTTGGGTATCACGATGGCTTTGATACTGCGGCAGGTAAGAGGGCCCCCAGACATGGTGCATGCATGTGAGGTATTCGCGGGCTGCTACTGATCATCCTGATAGCAACTGAGCTGCTTTGGCTCTTCCTCACGAGACACGAGAAATGGATGTTAATAACTACCTATGGGAGCCATGGTTGCTGAAAAATTCGCGTGCAAAAATGGCTGCGTTTAACGGCTGTAAGGTCCGTGGTGGGTTATGAGCAAGTCACACGACGTTTCGAAGTGACTTTGTCATGATGCCACTCTCCACACACCACTTACCTGTGTCGGCTGAATGATTCACTGAGTGCCTGCTGTTTTCTGTCTCACGTTCAACCTCGGCATGTCATGTTCACAGGTGGCGCACTCCTGAGACTTTTGAAACGCTAATTGACGTCTTCAGATGTGGGAATAACCATTGCGTAATTGTGGTAGCTAGCTGCGCAGTGCTTAGGAGAGTAGCGGCGATCTGAATGCGATCGTCTGTGATGGCTTCGACCGCCAGTTACCACCGCCGGTTCCGTTGCCCGCGGACCCTGACGGGAGGTGTGAGGAATAGCAACGCCTCTTTTGGCTGGTTGGCTGTAACGTAGTGCAGGCATCGAACGCTGGCACACCATGCTGGCGACGCCCAGTACTAAACCCACGGGCACGGCTTGAAATGTCAATAACCAGTGCTCGCTCAATAATGTCACAGTGACTTTCGTATAATGTGTCGTGTACAGTGACTCAATAACTAATGCTCAATAAGCATTTCTTGGTACATATTGGAGTGCCAATATCGTCAGCATAAAAACTCCAAAATCCCTCTCCCAAATTAACTACAGTTCTAGTTTCAAACGAACAATTGACATCAACGTAAACAGGAATTTAAGGGATATCATGCTGATTTCATGATTTCATGCATGCTGCGATGCTCTCCGACGCACTTAGCGAATATGGTTGCTTCAACCAACGCCTTGGTCAGTGAGGTTGCATCGGTCTTGAGAGGCTGGTGGTTTAATGGCTGTACATAGTTCCGCTGGGTTCTGCCGTCTCCAGCTGTCCGTTCGATTTCCGAGCGTTTGTCCCCTGACGCCCGCCTCTGAATGGCCTTTCACTCCATTTACAGTCTGACCATTCACTTCTCTGGCATGTCGCACGTACAGGCTCCCCGGCGTGCTGAACCGACATGCGCATTGGCTCGAGTTCTTCCACTTCTTCAAGACGACGTTGTCTCGAGGCCGCTTTGCGAGAGCCTTTCCGCACGCGTAGGTGCGGGGTGCGGCGCCGGTGTGCTGACGCTCGGGTAACTTCTGAGGCCGGGCAGCGATAAGTATGCATAAGACCTGTGTGGTGTTCTATTTCTGCTGAATCAATCCGTGGTGATTTCGAATCGAGTCCGATCAAAACCCGAATCGCAGCTGGTAGCGATTATTCGGATTCTGACAGAGCAGAGCACACGATATTGAGTCAACTCGGATTCTAACCGATTGTCTGATAGTTCGGAATCAGTTCTGACTGAATGCATTCAGGTGGCAACCTACCGCTGCTCCGGGCTGACACATGAAATACATATAGGTTGATACCAAGACAACAATGTAAGAAGGTAGTGGTCTGATGATTTTACAGGCCAGGCCGGTCACCAATCACGCCAGCTGACATTGCCGACTATTCCCCCAGATCGACTGCCCCGAATTTGTTAGATAAAACGATTCCACCTTTATTCTATAGAGGTTTAGCTGATAAAGTCGAGTGCGCCGTCGTTAGACGTCAAGCACAGCATGACATTCAAAACTGCACAAACTAGCCGTCGATTGTTAGGCCACTGGTGGATCCAGGGCAATGTGGCGCCTGCCAAGGGTCCTGTGATCTGGAAGCCGGGTGGTGCAAGCTCTTATTCGGAGCCGCCGTCTCTCTCCGCGGCTGTCCAGCTGCCAGCCTCCCACTCCGCGACTGGTCAGCTGCCAGCCTCCCACTCCGCGGCCGGTCAGCTGCCAGCCTCCCACTCCGCGACTGGTCAGCTGCCAGCCTCCCTCTCCGCGGCTGGTCAGCTGCCAGCCTCCCTCTCCGCGGCTGGTCAGCTGCCAGCCTCCCACTCCGCGACTGGTCAGCTGCCAGCCTCCCTCTCCGCGGCTGGTCAGCTGCCAGCCTCCCACTCCGCGGCTGGTCAGCTGCCAGCCTCCCACTCCGCGACTGGTCAGCTGCCAGCCTCCCTCTCCGCGGCTGGTCAGCTGCCAGCCTCCCACTCCGCGGCTGGCCAGCTGCCAGCCTCCCACTCCGCGGCTGGCCAGTTGCCAGCGAGCCATTTTAACATTCTTACGCGAGCCAGAAATGGCAGTGCAGAACCACTGGCCATCGGCGATTTGGGCCTCACGATGGGCTGCTGGTGCTAGAAATGTCGCCCCCTAATTTTGACTGAGAGGAGCATGGAGCTCGGAAGGTGGAGATTATCAGGCTCTAGTAAGATACATGAAGATGAGAAAGTATGCTTAATCAATATGTTGTCATTGAACGTAATCGAGGCGTAAGGACGAGCTCGGGTGCTGTGATTATATGGCGTCGCCCGCCTCTCACCCTCGCGGACAGGGCGGAAATAGCGGACAATCGAACGCCGTACATCTTGTTTCCCAGGTGCCTAGCTTAACCCTCTCCACTTCCGGTGCCCTAGCCTCAGACATGCGTCTGATTATGCGCCAAACCGCGCCGCAGTCTATCGTTTCAGTGGGGTTTCCTGTGTCGTATGTGGCGGGTGTGCCGCTGGCGTACGCCGTCCTGACTATGACGACAGTTGTTACGTCCTGCTGGCGCACGCCGTCCTGACTATGAGGACAGTGATTACAACCTGCTGATGTACGCCGTCCTGACTATGAGGACAGTGATTACTTCCTGTTGATGTACGCCGTCCTGACTCTGTGAGGACAGTGATTACATCCTGCTGATGTACGCCGTCCTGACCATGAGGACAGTGGTTTCATCCTGCTGCCGTAGGCCGTCCTGACTCTGTGAGGACAGTGGTTGCACCCTGCTGATGTACGCCGTCCTGACTCTGTGAGGACAGTGATTACATCCTGCTGATGTACGCCGTCCTGACTATGAGGACAGTGGTTACATCCTGCTGACGTAGGCCGTCCTGACTGTGCGGACTGTGGTTACATCCGGTCCTAGCCCTGCTCCCAACACTGACGCTGCTCCCAGCCGGCAAAAAGGGGAGTTATGTGAGCTGCTGATTTGGGATGGGTCTGTGATCCGCCCCACGCCATGAAACGTGCTGCTCCAGGGAGCGTTGCCGAATTACAACAGCCGGGCGGCGCGTTCTGGCGCCGGTTAGTTTATCAAGTTGTTGGCACCAAATCGGCACTAAGTCATCATCAGTTCATCACCAAGTCGACACCAAGTCGATCCGTTTTACAGCTCCCCGAGAGGGCTCGGCTAAATTCAATTGGTTCTGGGACACCTTCTGCGCCGCGTCCGTATCGTCCAATCAGCCACTGCGCGGGGGGCGTGCCGTCTAGCTGCGGCCGGCGCCGTCCAGCTGCGACCGGCGCTGGTCAGCTGACCGGCGCCCCCTCATCAGCCTTTCACGGCTCGCTGTGGGAACGGTCCAGGGCACGCCCATGCGCGGCAAGCTGTGGCGTCCGCCTGTTCCCGACTCCACCCTCCCCCCCCCCCCCCCCTCCCGCGTCGGACCTCATGGGCGGTGCCACTTCAGTTGGAAAGGCGACGCCCTCGTCGTGCAGATTGCTGAAGGGCAACGGATACATGGTCGGGGAGCCAAACAGGTAGGTACGCCGGTTTTAAACCCGAGGATTCCCCGGCTGCATAAGGGGTGTGGACGTAGCGGGCATGTGTCGGACGTCGAGGCTTTTCGAAGGTCTTATCGACGACAGGCCTCTTAAGAAAAATCGGCAGCAAACACGATAATCGTTAAGACTTTCTTTATTTCACGCTGTCTTCAAAAGTATCATGTTCTCCAGACAGCATGGATCACTCGAAAACAGTTCCTTCCAGACTCAGACCTTTTGATTCCTTACAATCGACTCCAAAGTAAAAATATATAAAATTGGCTGATCACAACGTTTGTAACAAGCGGTAAAGCATTTCACATGTGCAAACGGCACTAGTTCAGCTCGCATGCAGCTGGTTCACGAGCTTAGCATCAAGAGCACTTGCGCCTCGCAGGCTGAAAGATGTGGACATTTCTGGAATGGTTGGAGGGTGTTATACAACTGACGCGACGACAGCGGGAGCGGTACCAGAAATGGAGGGGGGAGGGGCCGGGTCGCTGCGAGACAGCAATGCAGGAGTGTCGCACGGAGGCGGTCGGCTTGCCGACCCGCCGGTGCGGAATGACCTTTGGACCCCAGTGATGTTGCGGGCGGCCGTTTACGCGACCTCGGCCTGCTCGTCGTCGTACTCCTCGTCAAACTCGCCCTCCTCGTCGGCGGTGGCCTCCTGGTACTGCTGGTACTCGGACACCAGGTCGTTCATGTTGCTCTCCGCCTCGGTGAATTCCATCTCGTCCATGCCCTCTCCGGTGTACCAGTGGAGGAAAGCCTTGCGCCGGAACATGGCCGTGAACTGCTCCGAGATGCGCTTGAACAGCTCCTGGATGGCGGTGCTGTTACCGATGAAGGTGGCAGACATCTTCAAACCACGGGGTGGGATGTCACACACAGCAGTCTTGACGTTGTTCGGGATCCATTCCACGAAGTAACTGCTGTTCTTGTTCTGAACATTAAGCATCTGTTCGTCAACCTCCTTCATGGACATGCGTCCTCTGAAGATGGCCGCCACCGTGAGGTAGCGTCCGTGGCGCGGGTCGCACGCGGCCATCATGTTCTTGGCGTCGAACATCTGCTGGGTGAGCTCGGGCACGGTGAGTGCCCGGTACTGCTGGGCGCCGCGCGCCGTCAGTGGGGCGAAGCCGGGCATGAAGAAATGCAGACGAGGGAAGGGCACCATGTTGACGGCAAGTTTCCGAAGGTCAGCGTTCAGCTGGCCGGGGAACCTGAGGCAGGTGGTGACACCGGACATGGTGAGGGAGACGAGATGGTTGAGATCACCGTAGGTGGGGTTACCCAGCTTGAGGGTACGGAAACAAATGTCATACAACGCCTCGTTGTCGATGCAGAACGACTCATCTGTGTTCTCCACCAACTGGTGTACGGAGAGGGTGGCGTTGTAGGGCTCGACGACGGTGTCGGACACCTTGGGGGAGGGCATGACAGAGTATGTGTTCATGATCCGGTCGGGGTACTCTTCCCGGATTTTGGAGATGAGGAGGGTGCCCATGCCTGAGCCGGTGCCACCTCCCAGGGAGTGTGTCAGCTGGAAGCCCTGCAGGCAGTCGCAGCCCTCCGCCTCCTTGCGGACGACATCAAGGACGCTGTCGACCAGCTCGGCGCCCTCTGTGTAGTGGCCCTTGGCCCAGTTGTTGCCGGCTCCCGACTGGCCGAAGACGAAGTTGTCGGGTCGGAAGAGCTTGCCGAATGGGCCGGACCGCACCGAGTCCATGGTGCCCGGCTCCAAGTCGACCAGAATGCATCTGGGCACGTAGTTGCCGGCTGCAACAAAGGGAAGAGCATGGTTTGTCACGCAGGTGTTGGCCTGCCGTGAGCGCGTGAGTGATCACTGCAGTCACTTGCCAAGGACACTGGGCGACTTGACTTAGTTATGTATGGTGATGTGGCCTCAGTCGGAGCTGAGCCCGAGGGCCAGAGTATCGAGTCTTCACTCCATATCACATAAGTTCCACCGAATCCCGTGCCGCAGGGGGCATATTCGTGCGGGACGCTCCTTTGCATTGAAGTGGGCTCTTAAAGCCGTCATGGGAGCGGCCTGCACCGGCGCCCGATCAGATCGCCCTGCCGGTCTCGTCACGTGACCGCCTCGGGGCGCCGCCGTGGCCGGCCGGATCTCTGGCCCCGCCCGGGCCGCGGACTGGCCGCCAGGTCGGCGCGCAGCGACAGTGACCGCTGAGAGCGCCCCGCCCGCTTCCCCACCACACGCCCGTCGCCGCACCGAGCCCTGTTTTTGCCGCTTCACGCCTGTCTAACCTCTGCACGGCGGTCCGCATCGCGCGCGATCTGGGACACTTTTTGCGCCGCGGCGGCGTACACAGAGCCGCAGCTGGGACGCGACAAGAGGCCTCGCTGCCGCTCGCAGGCGGGCCACCACCATTCTTTCGCGACAAGCGTACCGTTATCGCCTTCTCGGGCGCGCCAGCGCCGGCTCGCTCCCTTTAAACTGGCCTTTTTCGGCGGCGTCGCGCCGTGCCGGCCGGCCGTCACTCGTCCATATAAGGGGAGAGAGCAGCATTACTGGCTGACGTCATGGCCCGACCAGTCACGTGACCCGGCAACAGCCGGCGCCGGCGCACCTCGGGGCGGTTATTTGCAAACGGCAGGGCCGAGCGGACCGGACCGACCGGACCCTGCAGGGCAGGCACGCCGCTGGCCGGGGCGGCGCCGAGGACGGGCTCGAATCAGTGCCGCAGGCGGGCCGCTGGCCGGCGTCCGGCCGATGCTCCGAGTTGTTAGGCCTGTTGCGGCAGCCAGTGCATGTGCTGCAGCGATATTCGATGTGAGGGGCAGCGGCGGGCAGGCCGTTCGGTGGAAGGGAGATATGACCTCAAACGGTGCGCCATAGGCGAGGTGGTTCAGTTTCCCTGTCACAGAGCTACAGGTCATTGTGCAGATGTCGCACAGCTGTAAGTGCACTGGCCTGGCTGATAGGCTCTCCTCACGGCACTGCCACTCCAGAGACACCCCAACACCCTGGCAAGACACTCAACAGCCGAGCCGAGCCGAACACTGCCCTGAGGATGTCATGTGTGCTCTCCTGCCCCTGACACCATCCTGTCTGATTCCCTGCCCGCCGAATGTGTATGGTTTGTTCGGATGGCGGCGGAATGTCACGGAAGGCCCGGCAGATGGTTTAAGGGGAGCCTTTGGACGAAGCGTATGAATGCCAAAGACCCCCAAACAAAGAATACCCATGAGTGAGAAGCGCGCTGTTGACTTCAGGACCACGCAACTCCCGAAACGCGTTTTCAGTCGAACTTGTCCATACATGAGCCGCGTGGGACTCGATAGAGCCTTGTCATGACTGAATCGAAACGGATGACGTAAGGAGCCGGCCGCGTGCGGCGCGATTTGTCTCCCGCCGCCGAGGCGGCACACGCCCGCCCGACAGAAATGTGCCGCCGGCGCCGGCCAAAAGGCGCGTGAGGGAAGGGCCGACGTCACCTGAACCGACCCAGGTAAGTTACCTCTGCCATGACTCGCCCATAAGCCGTGCGCGGCCGTCGTCGGCACTTTCTCTCCACCAGACCACCTCTCCGGAGCAGCGCCACCCGACGAACATGGTGCACAACAGCTGCACCGGTGACTTCCTCAGCCACGCCTAAATGGGGCGCGAAAGGGAGGGGGCGGGACAAACGGAGCAACCGGAGCGGGCGGCGGCGGCGGCGGCGGCGGCGGCGGCGACGGCGGCGGCGGCGGTAGCCGGCGACAGGCGCCGGCTGGCTGGCTGGCTGGCTGAAGCTGCACTGCCTCGTCTGGCCTGCGGCTGACTCATGCCAGGGGCAGCGGTGAACCCGCTGGAGGCAGCAGTGGGTGACTAACGCCGGCGGCGGCCGGCCGAGCGGCGCCGCCGCCGCCGCCGCCGTGGAGGCGCGCCGCAGACCGCAGGCGCCGCCGCCGCGGCGCGCGGCGGGTGGTGGAGGGGTCTGGCGGCAGGCAGTGAGGCTGCCGGCGTGTGGTGCGCGGCGTCCGACGGACCCAGTGTCGTCGGCATGGATCCCACCCCAGCGGATACCCCTTGTATGAGACCTGGATCGTGTCCGGGTCCATTCACACAGCTGACACGAGCGCCTTAGTATGAAGCCTGGCAGCGAGGTCGTCCGGGGTTAATAAATAGGTTTCACATACAAATTACGACCGAAATCGTGACTGAACATTCGTCAACCCCATTCCACCTCACAAGAATGTTACATGACGTTGGTTTTCAGCGATACAGTGAAGACACTAGCCTACTCAGTATTCCAGCCCCGAACCCAGAAGGCACAAAGGAGCTCCCTCACACAACCCACGTCTGTTCCCGACCACGCTCTTCGCCCGCTGGCCTCCAGATTACCTCCCTCCCTCCCCTTCCCTCCCCCTCCCCCCTCACTGTCGCTCGCATGAGCTCACAGGCTCTGCCAGAACGAGGCATTTAAATCGCCCTTCAAGGAACAAGTGCAGCCGAGGGGCGGTCGCGTGCTGCAGCCGGTCCGCCCACTGGCGTTGCCATGGTGACGGGGCGACGCCGGGCTGGCAGCCCACATATTGGCGGGGGCGGGGCTCCGCACTTGCGGCACAGTCGCGGTAATCGACGCATCCGACTGTTGAACGCTGGCGTAACGTCCAAATTGCCTTTAGTGCTCGGAACAGGCTGGACGCAGTCTGCGCGTGGGCGGGCTTAATGGGAGGGGCTGTCTGCTGCAGCTACAACACACCGCGGCCGGGCCGAGCCGCTCGTCGCCCGTCACTGCACGCTTGTCACGGCCATCCTGCCCGCGCCAGTGCCGACAGAGGGACAGCCTCGAAAGCGACGCCGCCCACGGCCGCCGCCTGCTGGCCGTGCGCCGCGCCGGCGGCCAGCCCACGCGGCGTGGCCTCGGTCGGCCCGGCCCTCTCCCGGCGCCGTATCTGGCGCGGGACCTTCGGACGCTCGGACGCGGGTTTCGGTCGCCGACCGCCCGGCCGTCCCGGCGCCGGCGACAGTGGCGGGAGTAGCCGCAGCCTCCGGCGGTGCCGTCCGCCGCCGACGCGTGCCGGAGCTTCAAGCAGAGTAAGCTCGGTGTGGCGCTTGTTGGCCGGGCCCGGCGGCGTCCGCGGGTGATGCCCCCGCAGCGGCGCCGCCGCTGGATCGTTCGGCACATGCGGCGGGCCGTTACGGAGGCCAAACACCGGCCGGCGCCACCAGGCGGCAGCAGCGTCGGCGAGCCTGACGTCGTCGTCGAGCGGCTACCATCGCGGCTATCGCCAGCTGTCGGCCCGAGTTGACTCCTGCGCCGCCCGCCTGTCCGCCCCGTCTGCCGCGCTGTTTAGCCGGCTGCCGACTCGCCCATGGTCTCACGGCAGTCCGGCGCGGGCCGTGATTAGTGCCTAGCTACTCGGGTCAGAGCCTTCAGACGGCTGGAATGCGGCCCCGTGCGCGGCGTCTAGACAGGAATGTGGGGCGCAGCTGCTATGGCTGAACGCACGCGAGGCGGGCGCCCGTGACGTCACTGGCTATCAGCTTGGTCGGACGGCAATCTGGCAAAAACTGGCGAGGGAGACCGGGGCCGTCGGGCGGCACCATCCCGCACATCAAGATCGTTAAGTCCTACGTCCGCGGACAGCAGAGGCTGGTCCAGAGCTACAGCCAGTAGTCAGAGCCACGGAACCAGAGCCCGAAGCCCAGAGCCAGAGTCGGAGCCATAGTCAGAGTCAGAGCCAGGGACGTAGAGCCCTGAGCCAAAAGCCAGAGCCAAAGTAGCTAGAGCCAGGAGTCTAGGGCCAGAGCCTGGCTCGTAACTGCACGTACGTCAGCTCGCGGCCCTAGTTCCATTGGATAGGCGTCGTGGCGAGCAGTAGCCGTCCAATAACAGCCCTCAAAGCGGCCACTTAGTCGGCTGCATGCCGCAGTTTTACGAGTGAGAGCCGGCCCGGCCGGTCAGAGGAGCCGCCGCCGGCGGCAGCTGGGGGCCGGCCAGGGGCGGGGGCTGTCGCCAGCAGCACCCGAGGCCAGAGGAATCTTCAGACGCCCGGTGGTTGTGGTCGCTGGTCAGCTCCGGACGCGTCTCTGACATCACCGTCTGGGGCAGTGGGCGTGGGCGTCCCCTAGCCTCGCCTCGCCTCCTCCCTCCACCCTTCCTCCCATCTGCCGAGTCCCAGGGTGGGAACAAACTCCGATGCGCAATCGGCTGGACGATGCCATCCATCTCATCCCGTCCGAAGTGATCAACAAACATCCCTCGCTCGCACCGTTCGCTGACGACCAGCTGCGAATCCCGAGCCCAGCGAGCGGGGCGGTGCGGCGCCGGCGCGCCGCCGGCGCCGCACCGCCGCCCTGCGGCCAACTGTGGCGCGGCTGGTGCCGGACGCGCCAGATCAGACTCGGCCGCGGCGCCGACCGGAAGTGCCTGGAGCGGCGTCGGCGGCCGGCCGTAGCAGGCCGTGATGAAAGCCGGATAGCACGTCCCTAGGCCTGGACGGCGCTCCGGAGCGCATCGGCGAAAACAGTCTGCACCATAAGCTCTAACATGATGCAATCGCCCTTGCAGATAAGCGCCTCAGTCCGACCCGCTGAACATATGTGGCCGGATGACGAACACACGATAAGTGGCGCGATTCTCGTGTTATTGCTGACCATGCAGGACGTGGTGAGTCTAACAACATTCAGCCCGCTCAGAACAGGTTCAACAGCAGACGTGACATAGACTAGTAACAAGAGCCGAACACCCGGCCGTTCTGCTTACGCAGCGTGGTTCTTAGGTGAAAATGGCTGACGGCTGGCGGCTGACAATGCGTGCAAGCCCAACCACGCACCAGGCTGTTACAGCTCACTGGTCACACACCGGGCCCATGAGACGCCTAGCTTCAAATCCCCAGTGAACATCCTCCGTCGATAAACTGACGCAAATCAAAAGCGTCACGGCCAAAAATGCTCGAAAACGGGCAACATACTAAAAACGGGCCAGAAGCTGCCTCTATGTGCTCAGAGCTTCCAGTTACAATCGCTTTGTTACCGGAATTGGAACACTGTGACATTTGATTGGTAAACTAAAACAGGCCAGGTGGCAGAGTTCCGGCCAGCCAGTCTGCCGCTGGTGCGCGCCAGTTCACCGGCTGCACCCAGCTGCAGTGTGACCACCCCGGACGCTCCGTACTCACAGCTGGCCTCGTTGTAGTAGACGTTGATGCGCTCCAGCTGCAGCTCCGACGAGCCGACGTAGTTGCCGTTCGGGTCGATGCCGTGCTCGTCCGAGATTACCTCCCAGAACTGCGGAGCAGGAGCCCAGTCAGAGGTCTGCCGGGTCGGGTCGGGTCGGGTCGGGTCGGATCGGGTCGGACGTGCGGTGCGCCGCCGTTCTGGGACCGGGAGCCGTGGAAGGCGGTGGACGATGGAGCAAACCCCGCGACCTCGCAGACGCCGCCCACACAGTCGGGCTGATGATAACGGCGGAGCTACCGCACAAATTATCGCACTCTCAGTGCCTGTTCAACTGGCATCACGGCAGCCGCTATAATTCCTGCCGCCGTTAGCTGCCACAGGCGAGTCGGCGGCAAGAATCGCTGTGTCGCTGTTCCAAATACCAGGCTGGTCCCATCCGAGGCGGCGCACGATCCCGTCCAACCGCTGTATGCTGATTCGCCCGATCCAGGTCACAAGGTCACAAGGTCGGGCGGCAGTCGGCGGCCCGAGGGCGGGTTGACCTTGTGCCGCTCCGCCCACCAGATGGCAGGCCAAATGGCCGGGGCGGGGCCGGGTCAAGCTGCCCTGACGCAGAACGGAGCGACCCCAATTAGGCGCGGCGCTGGCTTACAGAACGGGCGACTGTCAGGCCGCGCGGGTTTTTTTATCCTCGATATTATCAGGCTAATATCACGATATTCGGCACCAAGCAACAGCCATGCAGCTCTTTTAAGGATTTGCCATTCACTACATGATTTAGATGCGGCCTAGGCAGATAAATACCAGTGAATTGCCTTTAATCAACTACAGCGCCTATTCTCGAAACAGAGACAACAAACGCCCACAACTCCGCCCACGCGATAGCCGGGCACGTGGAAATTCACCACGAGCCGAGCACCTTGACACACCCGAGACGCGCCGTCTTCCGACCGTGCTGGCCAGCGAGTGATTGTCCCCAAGATTGGCTACAGTTACGTAGCGAATCTTGGGGATGCAGCGCGGGCCGCCCGGCCGCGCGGAGCGGGGTGCTCCGGACGCGCCGCATGGAACCATGCTGCCGCGGCGCGGCCGGCCGACCGACACCACGGAGTGAGTCCGCGGCCGGGCGAGACGGCGCGTCACGTGCGGCCGCCGCACAGGGGGACGTGGTGCAGCCCAGGCCGTGACTCAGTGACGCCGTGACGAGCCGCTTCGGCGAATCGCTGTGCGCCGGCCCAAGGCCTCGCTAATGATATGCGTGGCGGCCGACGCGCTGCGTAGCTGACGCCGCCGGCGCCAACGGCCTGCCGCCGCGCCGTTCGAACGGCGCCCCGCGGGCCGGCCCGGCGCCCCCGGACGGCAGGGGTGACGTCACGGGCGTGGAGGAGCAGCGGCTCTGACAGCGCCGCCGCGGCCACCGCCAGCTGCCGCGATTCGTCAGCGGACCGCCCCGTTCAGCTGCGGTGGGCGCGTGAAGACGAACCCCTCCAGCTGTCTCGTGATCAGGCGCCTGGTCCGTGACGCCCGGGGCGTGGCCGTGACGGCGCAGCGGCCCACGTCTCCCCGAGCGCCCCGGCCACCGATCTGGCCGGGTGCCAGCGCGGGCCGCCGCACCGGTCATATTTCGGCGAATACTCGCCGCGCCCGACAGGATGCACGCCGCTTTGTGCGATTACCGCGGCATGCGCTACACATATCGCGCAGAGAGTTCTGCAGGCCCAGAGAATGTTATCGCCCGAGGCGCATCGACTGCAACAGCTGTTATTTAAGGGACCACGAGATTTTTGGACGTGGACAGGTTGCGAGCCAGCCTTAGATGCCGATAGAACTGCCGCCATTCTACGTTTGTGCAGTAATCTGTGTGCAGGTTTAACCTACACAGAGCGTCATCAGTAAGCGAATGAGGATGATATACCGGGATGGTCCAAAGTCCCAACCACGAGTGGTTTTGGGTCACACGAAATCTCTGTTGGCGTATTGAAGTGCGCCAGAAAGAAGCCGGGTGAAGAACCAATGTCCCAAACTCAGTCTCCTCGAGCGGTACCGAAACAATCATGAATTGCTGGTGGATCAATGCAGGTGATGACCGCCGCTTCAAAAGCACTAACATCGGGCCGTTCCCACGCCGACGCCGGAGCGCTGCGACCTCGACACCTGAGACCTCGACGCCACCGGTCCTGCATACCGCAGATTGATCGCCGACCATGGCCAGCCGGTCGTCATGGATCGGATCTGTGGAACCAGCCGGTCCGTCGCCAGCGACCGGACCAGCGGACTGGCTGGTCCGTCACCAGGGACCGGACCAGCGGACCGGCTGCTCCGTCACCAGCGACAGGACCAGCGGCACCGGCCGGTCCGTCACCAGGCACCGGACCAGCGGACCGGCTGCTCCGTCACCAGGGACCGGGCCAGCGAGACCGGCTGGTCCGCCACAAGGGATCGCGCCGACGGGACTGGCTGTTCCTAGGGACCTGACCGGTGGCACCGGCCGGCGAGCGCCGGAACCGGACCGCCTTCGGCCCGCCGCTCTGCCCTGCCACCGCCGCTCTGCGGCAACACGGCGTTTTGTTTTGTCGCAAGTGCGACGGGGTCGCCTGTGACAGATCGGGCGCCTTTTTGTGAGCCGGCGGCGTGTTTATGACGGGCGGGATGTACAGCTGAACTGGGTCGGCGGCACGGAGAGGACCAGGCCGCTGCGGTCCTTTCGCTCGGGCCGTCTGGGTCAGGCTGATCACGGGTTGACAGCCACGGCCTCCGACGTCTAACAACAGGGAGAGAACAGAGAACGAAAGCGATGGCGCTGGGTGAAGGCAGAGGCATGGGGACGTGCCGAGAGAGGGAGAGAGGGAGGCGATATATATATATATATATATATATATATATATATATATATATATATGGAGTATGGAGTAAACGATAGGCACCAAAGCAAATTTTTCGTGACTCATCCGCTACCTGCGCTGGCAATCCTCACACAGACGGCGCCCCAATATTCACAAACATCAGCGAGTGCCGTATGCTCACTGACACTCCACCAGCCATTCCTCGACCGTTAGTTGTATGCCACAATGGCGTGACTGTCATCGGGCTGGACCGCGTACAATCGAGTAACGCCCACCACCCACCGCACTCAAAGCAGCACCCATGCCGGCACGCGTGAAATCTAGGCTGTCTCTTATTCGCTGCCGCTCAGGTGGGCACACCAAATAAAAGCCACCTCAAACTCACACACCAGCCCGGCGAGCGTCCCAATGACAAAACAAATATAGTTGCGGTTGAGCCCCCGCCCCCACCGTTCGGAGCCACCACGCGGCCCGCGATACTACACGGGCGTCCGAAGGAAGCTGCGCCACAGCTGGCGCGTCCCAGGCGCGCAGGCCGGAGATCGCCGCGACGCCGGCTCGTCGATTGACATGTTTCCGGCGAGCGGCGCGTGACGGCTGGCCCGGCGCCTTGCCTTGATGCGCGTGGGAGCGGAAGCGAGGCAGCGCCCGTCTCGGGCGGGGCCGTCCGCCCAACACAGCCCGACCCACCGGCCGCTCCACTGCCTCCGTCCGGCCCGAACGGCGGCAGATCAACGGCAGCACAACGGCGGGGGCCCGAACGGCGGGCAGATCAACGGCAGCACAACGGCGGGACAGCAGCAGGACAGCAGCAGAACAACAGCAGAACAGCGGCGGATCAACGGTCCACTCCCGGCGGACCGACTGGCCACTCCCGGCGGACCGACTGACCACTCCCAGCGGACCGACTGACCGCTCCCGGCGGACCGACTGCCCACTCCCGCCGGACCGACTGGCCACTCCCGGCGGGCTGAAGGTCCGCTCCCGGCGGGGTGACAGTCCACTCTCGGCGGAAGGCTGTCGGTGTCGGAAGCCGCGAGCAGCAATGGAATTACGCTGCATGGTTTGGCTGTCATGCCCACAGTCAACTGGTCCGAAGGACACTTAATTCAGTGGGTTTTGAGTCTTCCACCGATGCTCGCGGCCGTCCTCCCTCCCCCCCCCCCCCCCTCCCTCCCCCTCCGCTGCTGGTACGTCGGGCACGCCTACGCCGACCTGCCTTCGGCCCTCCCTTGAGGCGTGCGTGGCGTGGCGGGGCACCATTGCAACACGGGCTGCAACGGGAGGGTGGGGTCAGGGACCGGACGACGCGTTCGGGCCAAGCAGGTGCCTGGCTAGGGACGGCGGCCGGGCTGGCTGGGGACGACCGACCGGCGCCGCCGCCGCCGTCCGCACCGAGCCCCACTCACGTCCGCATTCACACCATTAGCGGCGCGGAATGTTATCGCAGCTGGTCGGCCGGCGCCGCCACCGCAGACAGCGAGCGGGCCGAGTCGGGCCGACTGGAACGAGTCGGCGGCCGGCTCGAGTCACGAGTCGCAGGCGGTGCCGCTGAGTGACGTCACGTGACGCGTCAGCCGCTGTGTCGGCCAGGGAGAAGCACGCCATCGGAGCGTGCGTTTAAACGTTGGCACTCAGACGTTTAGTAGGAGGGTGAAGGGGTTGGAGCCGCAGTGCATGTGAGTAACCGAACCCCAGAAAATGTCCCGAAGCACTGCGCGTGCATAAACATGTCGGTTTGATGCATCATTTGAACCCTCTGCACGTTTTGCATGCAAGTAGCCGCAGTGCAGGCAACCGGTTCGTCTTCCACGCGAGCGCACCTCGTCCTCATGCTCCTGGGGGCGCGCGGCAGCGAATTCCACGGCGCACGGGTCGAGAGGCTACCGCGGACGCGAGCCTGTCCAGGCAGCAGGCGCAGAACCCACAGTCTTCCGGACGGTTCGATGAACGCTCCGGCCTTGGGCGCGCTTGTAAAGAAAACATGGCCGCCGCGCTGCCGGCCGGCCGGTTCGACCGAACCCTCGCCGTCAGCGCGCAGGCCAGGCGGAAACATACTGCGGCCGCGGTCTCGCCCGCGCGGTAAGGCTCGACTCTGCACAACCGCAGGTTGACGGGCGTAGGCCGAGTGGGAGGTCATCGCCGACGTTGACCCCGCCGCCGCCCGGGTCAGGCTCACGCTGACCCCGACCAAGTGGGGCGCAGGGCCCTGCGGCGTCTTTTGAGGCGCTGCGCGGCTGCCAGCGCGTATTTACTGGCGAGATCATTAGTCACGGCGTGTGACGCGCCGCAGCGCTGGGCATTCAACTCGCTCTCCACCTGCTCCCAGAGGAAGGGTGAACGGTTGGACGGGGCGGGAGAGGGGGGGGGGGGGGGGGGGGGCGGAGCGGCGGTCGGCGCTGACGGCTCCAATCTGGCCAGGAAGTGGTGCCGCACGCGAGGAGCACAAGCGATTGCGACATGGCTGCAGCACAGCGACGAGCTGGAGCCCGCCCGCCGGTCGCCGCTACCCCGACCCCGTCTAGACCGCGTCGGGCACGCGCGCTGAAATGTGACGCGGCGGCGGCGCCATTCGACGAGGCCGCCGTGCAGCCGGTAACGGTGCGGGCGCAGCCCCGACACCGGGTCAGCCACCGGCGCGGTAGCGGAGTGGAGACGTGCCACGGAATGCGCCGGCGAGACCGGCGGGCGCCTGGTGCGGCACCCACCGACTCGAAATGCATGCGAACGTTCACCTGCACATGGGTGTGGGGAGGACCGCTCTGCAATTCAAGTTCAAAGTTGAAATGCACTGTTCTGAATTCGAAGGCAGGTAACAAATTATTCGTTATAGATCTATCAAAGCTGAAAAGCGATTGAGTGAAACGCATCCCAAAACTAGTTCAGATCGGGCGTTGCTGGAAGATGGAAGCTCAACGCCGTGACATAAACAGGGCATCCGGCGAAGCACGACTACTTACTGACGTCATAGAACACTTAACCTGCCAGGACTAGGCACGAAAATACGCAAACAGCTAACGCGTTGTTCATAATGGATTCACATTACGGCCGAGTGACAAGGCTACGAATCGCGTCCGATTTCATGATGCCGACTCACCTTGGAACCGATCTGGTTGCCGCACTGGCCGGCCTGCAGGTGCAGAATCTCCCGCATGTTGTCTGTTTGGGCGTGTGGTGTCAAATTCGGGAAATGTGCAGCCGACTCCTGCACTCCTGCTTGCTGTCTGGGGCGACCGGCACGCCGCCCTATCACCAGTAGACTGTCGAGTGCGTGACGTCACCGGCTGACGGCGCGCCCATTGGTCGCCTCGTCTGACCGCGGAGCGGGCGAGGTCGGACGACGCTTATGCCATATATGGCTCCCGCAGTCGGTGACTCAGCGCCCAGTGACAAGCCTTTCGATCGGCACGATGGACTGGACTGCAGTGGCTCGCGCCCGGCTCGTGCAGCACCGGTAACATGCCCTCTTTCGTCTTGCAGCAGGAAAAAGCTTGCCAGCGTTGCTTGCAAACCTGCCGACAGCCCACCAGCAGTGTGAAAAGCGATCGCTCCAACGAGCAAACCCATACCGACATGAAACAAGTTATAATATGTGAATAAACCATACTGTTTGCGTATATATATATATATATATATATATATATATATATATATATATATATATATATATATATATATAGTATATATGTACGAGCTCCAGAGCTCAATGTTACATTGGACCGCATCTGATGCCACACAGGAGATCTGTCACATGGTTTCTTCTTCAGATGACAACCAGCCATCATCATCATCGTCAGATTAAAGTCGCCGATTTGCGTAGAATGTTGGAATGCGAAGTCGTCTGCACCAGTTAGAATCACTGCACATTTTGCTCGTAAGAGCTCCGAATACGTAACAGGTAGTGATGTTAATGACTTTCACGTTTCATGCAGACGTAACGTTTAAAGCACACCACATAAGCGGCCTCTTGGACTTATTTTCTGGGCCAATAGGCGACATAAGCTTCATGCCATGCTGGTAGCTAGATATATGGGCCGAGCACTGCATGCAGAGCACATACCACCTCGTTGGGCTGCATTTACCGCTGCCAAGACGGATGACACCAGATGAAACATTGGTAGGCGCGGGGAGAAACGGAAGCAACCGCTGCGCTGCTATGGCCTCTCTGCAACGCCTTTTCAAACCGACCACGAAAAACATGGCTGGAATCTCTCAGGCATTCTCCATTCTCATCGTCTCTCTTGCTGCCCTGGCCTGGCCTGCCGGCGCGCTGAGTGATGGCCATGCAAACGGGCACATGCTCGGGGTGGAGGGAGCTGGCATGATCCAGTGCGCCGCCACGTGACCGCATGCCCGGGTGTGGAGGGAGTTGGCATGGTTCAGTCCGCTGCCACGTGACCGCGGGGAAGGGAGGATCTGGTCCAGACCGACTCTGAACGGTGCAGTTCAGTGTCTTGAAATTGCTTGCCACTTGGGTGTGGGGGGGGGGGGGCGATGTTACTATTTACAAGGATGTAGAAAAACTGTGTGCTTTCTGACATGTTCACGCCCCAAAAATGAGTTGGAACGCATCATATTTGACCACTTACAAATTATTCTGTATTCCTTCTTCTTCAGGCCCTAGTCGCCGTCCGGCTGGTCTGGTATTCTTCCCAAGTACGAAAATTGTCCTATTCCTGACTTCCCACCACCTGATGTCCACTGAAGACCATATTTTTACAGTGAGTCAGCTGCTCGTGATCGTTAGCAATGTTTCCGTTCTTGGTTAAAATACACCTCACGTGACACGTGGCCTTTCGAACTTCTCTCACCTTAGCTCTGAAGAGCACACCACACACAGACGTGTTGAGCACACCACACACAGACCACGTTGCCACAATATTCTTCTTTACGAGACCTCGCGATTGGTAATAAGTTGTGTGTCCCTAGGTTCAAGATTGGCCCCATTCAGCCGGATGAAAGGTCGACTTTTCCAGAAATCATAACTTTTCAGCTTTACGTGCTCCTACATGCAGTATCATATTTCGAGGCGTCACGAAACGTCAGCAGGGAGTACAATGGTATGTAATTTTAGGTTTCAAGCATACGCTTATAATGTGGAGCTCCGTCGACGTGACAGTGTCGGCCCGCCGCGCAATACCGCGGAAACGTCCATTGTCGGTGGCAGCCCGCGCCGGCAGGGACCTGCCGTGCAAGGTTCCTAAAACCCGTCGCTTTTCAGAAGCTAGAATTGGTATGGACACATTTTAGACGTTAAAATATGCGCAATGGCTGCTCCAGAGGCTATTGAAAATTTCGGCACGATTGCACAGGATACTGGAGAGCTACCCCCCTCCCCCCCGAAAACCTTAGGGGGAGGGGGCTCGCAAGCCTCCCCGTATGAAAGTGGGGTTCGCCTATTAAAGCATGAAAGGTCGCTAAAAACGCTACAGGATAGCTAATTGTTTCCAACAAGCATAGACGTCGGACAGTCATGTGGTAAACGCCGTGCGGTGAGGGTTTGCAGTGTTAAATTACGGGTCGTATCATGTGATGAGTTTTTTCATTGACCTTAAGTACATTTACTTATGCGAAGGCATTCTAACATAAACTGTGTTTGCCCATGTCTGCCCTAATTGCCCCATGTGGGCAAAAAGATACGTAGATTGGTAAACATAGCCAAGACCTTGAGTGTAACCACTGGGGGCAGGATATGGCTCACAATTTCCCGAAATGTAATTTTACTTGCCTGAGGAATGTACGTATTTCACAGTTTCCCCGTTCGCAGTGCTACTTTCTGTCAGGTTGTACAGCCTAGGTTCCAGTTGATCTCTTGAATCCTGATCTCCACCGTAGCCTTCCCCCATCTCAGAGACATGGTTGCGCCAATGTCTAAGGCCTTTACCTTCGGTCATATTGGTTGTCCAACATGTACTGAAATGTTTTCTTTAGATTGGCATCAGCATACGCCTACCACAAAATCCTGATGTGGCATTACAAACCTGTCCGACTTCCATCACAGGCTCTGAATTTTGTAGCTACGGAGATGAGCATTACGACGGGAAACACAGCAGCGTAAACGCCTATTGGGTAGTGGGTATCTGCCTAGGTGCCACATCCACGCGTTGCCACATACCATGGATCATGGGTTAGGGTGAATATAGTTGGGACACAAACGCAAGCATGAACCTGCATCCCCTCCCCAGCTACCCTCATGACCAATCACAGTCATTGTGGTAACAGCTGATGAAGTTTGTGACGGAGAACTTACTCGGCATCGGAGAATTCGGATTTCAAATGGATATGCCGAAATCGAAAGGTGATCAACGTAGTGGCCAATAAGTCGTTGTCCGTTGGACAGAAACCAAATTTTTATTATTAGAAATGTTGTGCGGACTTGTCGCAGTCTCAAATGAAATTCCTTGGCGAGAGCTGATTGGGCAGACACTCTAAAATGTAAAGTGGTTATCGGCATCAGCTGGAGAGGGCTTTTTTACTTTTTACTTTTCGGGTCCTCATGCAAGATATGTCTGAAAAATAAAACAACGTGGCCATAACTTGCCACTTAGGTAGATATCAACCACAAAAGTGATCACTTTCGCACTTAAAATGGACCCGGAAGACAAACACTCTCAGCATAAGTAAGAAATGTAGCTAAGTTGTTTGTTTGGAGCAGTACTATCTGATGCGATGGCAGATTTTAACGCCATGGAAAAATATCACATTTCGAAATATATCGCGATCGGGAAAAAGTGCCTGAAGTATGAAGGTGAGACATCAGACTTTCCAAAAGAGGGCTGCAAAGCACGATCCCTTTTTTAAAATGAAAAACCTACGGTGGCCTTGAGTGTCCTCTTTGACATCATTCTGCTTTCCATGTTATGGAGACCCCGATATTCCCGTTAAGCTGGCAGCAATGTGGAAACATCATTTTGTTAGCGTTACAGTTCCTTAAGCGCTGAAGCACAGACTGCCAATAAACTGTCAAATGCAGGCGTATCTCCATGTCAGGGAAGGCCGAGAGGTGGTTAGGTACCGCGCAAATGTTGGAGTTTTCATGGTTGGGACATTTACCGTTTGTGCTATGATGACGGACGGCCAGCCCCATGCAAGTGTATGGCTAATTGTCGTGCTACGTGCAAATCCAGTGAAAGGCCCTGAAGGGACGCGTCGAAGACCGAGGTGAACTTTAAAAACAACGTGAATGTGTGTAAATCTGCTCCGACTCGCCGGCATACCACATGGCCGGGCAAGGGGCGGCGCGGAACTGAGCCAGGCTCCAGCTGCCGACGTGTCGGACGATAACGTGCCACGCGGCCGCTGCGCCCGGTCACGGTACGCCGAGACGCCGGCGGTGGTCAGCCCGGTACGCCGAGACGCCGGCGGTGGTCAGCCCGGTTGCACCGAGCGACGTATGGCCTCCCCCACCGCAGAAGATGGACCCGGCTAACTGCGGGCCGCGAAGCCGGCAAGGGGCCGTGGGCGTCCCTACCGCCAGCGCGGGCGGCCAGCTGCGAACAAGACAGCACCGTGGCCACGATGTGTGGCGGCCAGCCTCCCTCGTGCTGTGTCCTATGTTGTTGACGGGCTCTCGGGCGACGGGTTCCCACGGCGAACGAGCCGACTTCTTTCCGAGAGCGCCATGCCGCCGCCGGCGGCGCCACACAAGGGCCCCGCCGTCCCACATCCCCGGCCGGCCTGCTGCCAGGCCCGCCGACGCCTCAGCACGTGGTGCGCGGCGCGGCCAGCCCTCACCTTTAGTCACTGTGCAGTGTGCTGGCCGCCGGCACTGTGCCAGCGTGCAGCGTGTGTTGTAACCGGACAGATGGGGCTGTCGGTCTTCTGGCGGACAGGTCATGGGAAAGGGACTCGGATCACACGGCCTGGCACGCGACCACCCCTGTTGGTGTCGCGGCGCGGACTGCCCGATGATGAAGCAGAGCGCGGCTGGATTAATAATGCGCGCCCCATTCTGATTAGTTAATTACACGTTTTGGGGTTATTTTGCAGGAAGTTGCATGACGCTGTTAACCCCCACGCACCCACGCACGTCATTGGCAGCCTTCCATCATCCCAGTCTTTTTTATCAACAGTCAACTGCGAAATCATCAGGGCCATTATCTGTCACGCATCCTACGTTCCCACGAGCAAAATGTGCGGTGATTTTAACTGGTGCAGGTTCATGCGGATCATCCGGCACATCATCTGACGAAAATGCGGAGCAGCGGCTATCATCCGACGAAGAGACCAGGTGACAG